TTGCATAAAATTTTATATCAAATTTAATTAAAATAAAATATAAAATTTAAATAAAATATAATATTTATACTCAAAATTTATAAAAATATGTGAATTTAATATAAAAATTTATTATGACATAGATCACACAACCATAAAATAAAATATTGGGTTTTTCTTTTTTTATGAAAAGAATTAAGTAATTGTTATTAATTGTATTAATTTTGCTTGCGCCGTCTGTAAAGCTCCAATTTCTTGTTTTAATTCAACATTAACTCCGCAACACCGAGAGTTTTTAACAAATAATTCATTACATTATAATCCAAGCAAAGGGCAAAAGAGAAAAAAAAAAAAAAAGGGAGTCGTGAAATAACTTTTCAGTTTGAACCTGGACAGATTCAGTACTTAAAATCTCAATGGGACTTTTAAGCTCATTAAGCCCCAATGAAAAACCTGTAATATCTCAGCTTCTGATCCCGATTTCTGACCAATCTCACGCATTTCCTTTTGCTTCCTCCCAAAAACACAACCGAGACACAGCCACCATCGACATGCATGTGGATGACCTCAAGCCTCCAACAAATTCTTCAAGTGTTTCGTTGAAGTCTGCCACTCATTTATGCTCGCTTATTTTTCCATCTCTTAGGGTATATGTTTTGTCCTCCTTTCGGCTAGTTAAGGTAAGGGGGGCTTAAGCTAGATTCTTCACCTTTCACTCAATTAGGAACAAAAGGGGATTTTATTTTGAGTTTCAATAAAATTCTTAAACGTTATTTAGATAGTTCTAAATGATTTCTAATGTGTTTATTTGTTAATTGCAGGGCGCGGAATTGGTTATCCAAGAAAGTTCCCCTCTATATTGTTGAAACGACCATTAATTTTTTGTATTTGTACACATTTGTAACATTATCATTACAATTGAAATGTGCAGATTATTGCCTTAAAAAGCCAATATTGTAAACGGAATGATAGTGCAAAAAATGGCAATTTCCCTAATTGAGAACACTGAAATGTCAACTAACGACAAGAAAAGTAAAAAAGATTTACCAAGAAACAATCATCTTTCAACTTCTTCTTGTGAATCATGTACGCATTGAGTCCTTCAAGCAAATTTGCATTAATATCGTAAGCAGAGTTGCTGCAGCCAAACCAAGCTTAAAAGCACGACCGTTTGGCTGTTGACACTCAAAATCTTCTAAAATCTCCCATATTTTACCTGTCCTAATTTTCAAATTCGATGCTGCTTAAAGAATTACATGAAAATAAAGCAAAAGCTTTCAACCTCAATAAATCAAGTTGTCCGAGGAAGAAGATTATAAAAACACTACAAGGTTTTGTTTTATGATATACTGTTGTTCTTCACTTTTCATTGCTTTTTATTTATATTTTGCCAATATTCATTTTCCCACGTCTCAACTTGCCTCACGGAGTTAGCTTTCGTATCAAGAAATTCTCGGAGCTCTGTTGCATTGTAAGGTGGAGGCATGGCACATGGAACTGTATCTCTGGGAGAAGTCACCAGGGATTGCTCCTTGAATTTCTTCCAATTTCCACTCTCATGACATGCCATTATTTCAGCACAAAGCATCGTGGCTCCACGGGGAACCTTTGGTTTGAATCTGAGGAGTTTTGCGTACTCGTTTAGTAAATGGAACATGTAATCGTAGACATAATCCATCTTCATATCCTCATGAATGAAGTTGGCAGCAGCCTTTCCGATGGCCTCTGCTTTCTCCGGATGAGTGTTGCCCCATTCAACGGCAAACTTAAGAGAAGTGCACTTGGAATTGGCTCTTATGGGCCAATAGTGCTGCAATGGCTGCATCCCTCTTATGAAGAAATCATGGTACCTAGATTTTATGTATAAGGTCATGGAGTCACATGCTAGAATGTATTTTTCACTCACGGACCATGCCCATCCTTCTGTATATATCTTATACCTGTTTGTAAAATTACAAACTTTTAGTGCAACATCACAAATAAAATTAAAAAACTTTTAGTGCAACATCACAAATAAAATTAAAAAACTTTAAGTGCAACATCAAAAATAAAATTAATGGGATTAGGGGCTAATTAATAATTATAGTAAACTTAAAACAAATCTATCTTTGAATTACCT